ACAGAGATCCGCCTGCCTCTGCCTCCCGAGTGCTGGGATTAAAGGCGTGCACCACCACCGCCCGGCTGCCTTATTTTATAAAGACTATTTACCCTAGTATATTGACCATTGAACATAATTTAGAGCATCTAAAATGGCCTAAGGAATACCGCTGCCTATTTCAATAAGGCTGCAGTCAGTAATAGTCTTTGCCTATTTTTGAATGAATGAATATACTTATACAAAATGTAGATATGCAACAGATCAATATCTTTTATAGTTAAAAGTTCCTTAATATACCCTGAGGCTGCTGAATTAAGTCACATGAGATGACTGATGCACTGCTGTATTTTTTTCCTACTAAAACCAAACTCCAGATTGCTGTACAGTCCCATCGCCTTTCCTCTGGTCCCAGTCCATCACAGGTCTTGGTTTAAGAACATGGTTCTGAAGTCATCCACCAGTTCTACAACAGTGTCACTGAGGAATTACTGGATTTCCTATACTAATCACTCCTCTGACCAACTACAGGCAAATAAGTATGTGCCTACTCTAGATATTTATTAAATTGATACTTCCTTTTGCATGTCTAGCTAACTCCACGAATTTCACTTAAGTGGTCTCTTACTAACGTAAGAGAAGTTCCCATTTAAATAAAAGCAAATTTTAAATGGTGCTGTGGTTTGAGTCATAAGTGCTTCCCACAGGCTCGTGTGTTTTAACATCTTGTGCCCAGAGGTGGCACTGTTTGGAGTTGTTAAAGCCCTTGGCCCTGTGCAGTCACTTTTTAATTCCTGATCCACTAAGATGTGAACAAACACACAGCAAGCTCTTACCACCAAGGACTGGACCAACACGGCCATCAAGCTTCCTGAAGTGCTAGACTGGCCCTCTCAAACTGTAAGCCAAAATAAGCTTCCCCTCTATTAAGTTTCTTCTGCCAGATACATTGTCAAAATGACAGGAAAGAAACTAATAACATGGGAACAAAGTCTCAAATAAAGGTAATAATCAAAAGGCTGTTATCCATAATGGACATATTAATGACTAGAATATTAACCCCAGTTATTGATTTTAGGATTAAAGTTAGTTGGAGTTTTGAATTTACAAGTTTCGAATCTGTAATGATATCACTTGCTAATGAATGTAAGTTATACCTACAGAGGGTGGGGGCTTGTTCTTCAGTGTAAATGGGAATAAAAGAAATACACGTGTCAATTTAGGAAAACTACTTTCAATGTAATTTTTACAGTATGATTATACAGTAAGTACAGCTCAAAACTACTTATGCTTAAACCTCATAGGCAAATTATAAATTATTAATTTTATTCACTTAATACTAATACTTTAATCTCTTTATGAGTGGCTTCTATTCTAGTTATGCCCAAAAAAGCTTTGCATTTCCTCCCCAAGAACATGAAGTATTCTCACACTCTACCTAACCGTAAAATGCAAGAAGGGAACAACCTTTGGAATCCAGCTGTTAAAAGCAAGTTAAGGGTAGAAAGCTGCTTAGAGCCTCTCTGAGTGCCGGAATTCCCTGGTATCTGGGAAGCTTGATCGCCAAGAGCCCCGGTTTCTTGCTACGGCCTCCTGGAGCCAGTCACCAGGAGAGCACAGCCTGTCCTGCTGTAGTTGCTTGCAATGTCCCTTTCCTAGAATGAACTGTGTATAGTGGCAGGGCTGGACCTGGGTGTTTTCATCTGTCAACTCTGAAATGATTCTCTTTTCTACTTTTCTAGATGTGAGCCATTCTCAGAGGAAAATCTCTATGGATTCAGGAGAAGAAACTGGTGTTTGTCTGTCAAGTATAATTATTCGGGGCTTTTGATTATTACCATGCTTCTATGTGTGAAAGGTAGCTACTATTCATAAACAACATGTGTTATGTGTTATGCCTAGGCTTGCACTCAAGTATAGTTCAGACACTGCAGAAAACCACTATTGACTGGCTAGGAAGCACTTGAGCGGACCCCATCACCATATTACTAGAAGAGATCAGCTTTTTAGCAACAGTTTAGGAACATTTTTAAACAATGGTGTATATAAATGTTGAATAGGTGGGGAAAGCCCTTGAGGTAAGTTGGAACAGCTTTCCTGGGTAAACAGAAATAATACAAATGTACCTGAGTTTTTCCATCTCCTATTTGTCTTTACATTGAAAAAGGCATTACAATTATTCAGAGATCCAAACTAGGAAGTGCAGTATCTTCCTTGATTCTTGCAACTTCTTCTCTTTCAAGCTTAATTTTGGCAATCAACTAAGGGTTTTCAAACGCAATTACCAACTGTTTCTTTCCTTCGACTCCCACTGTCCCAGATCTCGTCAGGAAGCCTCCCTTGTGAGCTGTCTCTTAAGCCTCCACTTCTAGACTGCTCTTCTCAACTCAGGTGGAGCTGGTCCTATCTGAGATGATTTTTCCCTTTCAAGATGCAAGCGTAAAGTCGGTCCTTTTGACAGCTCATTACAGTCTTTAAGATCAGGTTCAAACTAGGAGCTACCTCAAGGGCCTCGCAGGCTGCATCACCACCTACTCCTTTAACTAGTCAGGCTGTCAGCGGTCTTGAAACACTTGGTTTCTGTCCCTTTCCCCTCTGGGTTTCTGTCATTAATTCTCTTTCCTCTCTTGTACTTCTTTCTGTCTGCCTCCTTTGTCTAACTCCTCACTCATCTTAAATATTAACTTGGATTACAATTTCGATTTTGACAATGCTTTTCCAACTACACCTTTCCCAAGACTGAGCGTGGTGATCTGATTTGCTACAAGAAAGCATTCTACCCATTTAATATGCCTGTTTTCAAAATTTCCATACTTAAACCACTTTCCTCAATTCACCATTCTCTGGGCTTATGGATGTCTGGGATTTTATAGACATGCTTATCAGAGATGCCCAAACAAAGTCTCAACCAATTGCAGGCTAAAGAGTCTGAATCAGTTACACATCCAAATCAATGCCCTTTTCAAGGACCAGATGGTTCCTAGAAGCATGCTAAATGGCTCTTATCATGCCATTTCAGGCTCTTTTCAGCAACAGAGAACATCCTTCTATTTTGTGTGCGGGACCTCTTGCTCGCTCCTGAACTTTCTGCATGTACCTCGACACCTCAGCTCTTACTGTCGCTAGCACATGTTAGCTAATGGCTCACTTTCTGAGATACCATTCCTCTGTCTGTTTGTTCTGTTGGGTTGTTCTAACCCTCTCTCATCTCTACTCTGGTGGACTCAACCCCTCTCTCCTCTTGGTCATCACAGAACATTTGACTTTGTCATTTTTAAAGCTGCTTATTTTGTTAACACAAGGAGCTTCTGGAAGCCATACACTGTATGTGCTATATTTTAGATATCACAGTTGTCTGGAATATAGTGGTACCTAGTCATGAATTGTATCAGGATAATTAAAAGGAAGTTAAAGATATTTTGATTATCTTAATGAGAAAACAGGCAAGGGGAGGGGCTAACTCTGCCAAATGTAAAAATGAAAATGTATGGGTTTATTCATGTTGGCATAATGCTATAGTGCAAGAATTTGCCTTCCTCCCCAACCAATCATCCTTTTTTAACAGTGCCACTTAGAGTGCTCTTAATTGTCTAATAGATAAAACTCTCCAACTTACTCCCTAACCCTAACTCAACTTTGGCAAGAGAACTATGAGCATACAGCAAACATAAAATGAGCTAGAAATATGTCATGGATAACAACCAACTTTCAAAGGTAATTTCAATGACAGATAATTCAGACTGTTTTGATTAAAGTTCCAGCCCTGTTGCTTCCTTCGAAAATCATTTCTCTGTCAATGTTTTGGAATTTCCACTTGCACAGTGATAACCACAGCAATCCATACTTCACACTTTGGCTGCTGTAGGATTGGAATCTATGTAAAGCATGTAGACTAATTATTTATTGTTTGCTATTATTATCATTGTCTGAAGAGGTGGTTACATAATAAGCAATAGTTATACTTAGTTCCTAGAGTATACAAAGGGTCTCAAGATAGAATGTGGCTTTAATATGACTCAAGTAATAATACAGAGAAGCTGGCCCAACGAGCATGCCCTCAAAGTGCAGGGTATGTGCTGGGCTCTGTTTGAGGAGATCTTTTAATTAAATGTACTATTCTGCAAAATGACTTATAATTTAATCTCTCCATTTCACCTTTATAAGTGCCTTAATATCCAATGATTATCAAGAGTTTTGAAATTAAAAATAAATGGAAAAATCATCTTGGCTTATAAGTCCCTACTATATTAACAAGATAGTATGTCAGATATTAATTTCTATAACACCTCCTACATCTAATTCTAAACTCTAAATTTTAATTTTCTCAGATTGTTATAAAAGTAACCAAATTAAAAAAAACTTCAGAATTTATAATGGTATATTGGTTTGCATTAGAATCCTATCAGATTTCTGATGAAGATCTACAAAATTAAAAAAATAATTTTTATAGCTCTAAAATCATTATTGTCATTGCTAAAAGAAGCAGGTATTGAAATTTTAAAATGCTAAATACACAGTTGAAAACAAGATCTTCAAATTTTATATAACTATATTAGTAAAAATTCCAGCTGAAAAATCAAAGGTGATTTCAAATATCTTGATACAGCCTATAATTTTTACTATGTGAATAGATTATGACTTGGCTACTTCTGAAAATACAGCCAAATCTTGATTATTCTTAGTCTATAGAAATACAGACAGTTGGAAACAGACCTCTTCACATCTTTAGTATCTTTACCACAAAGCATTCACCATGGTGAACTTATTCTAATTTGCACTTTGATTTCTTTTTCTTCTTAATCAATGAATGGTTTAATATTAATCATAACAAGTAAAACAACAGATGAAGTGAAATGTAACAAATAACCAGTCTGAGCAATCAAGAGTTGGCTGCACAGTATCATATCTACTGTAAGAATCAAACTGGAAGAATTAAAATAGCCGCATTTACTTCATTATGGCTAAATAACACCAAGCAGGAGCTCCTATGCCTTAACATTCCTAGTCAAGTCTCCAAGTACCTGAAAGAACCCTGGTGGCACAGGACCTACTGGCATGCCATCTCCTGGGGGCATGTTTCCTAGCACGGGGCTGGGAGCTGCTGCAGCACTCTGCAAAGAATAAAGGAGAGACAGAGCTACATCATTACAGAGAAGGCACAAGACCACAGGCTGCTGAAACGATCACAGATCGCAAGGTGGCTGCTTTTGCACTCCTGGGAGCAAAAGCTGCTGATTTTCCACTCTACAAGTGAACAGACAGACATAAACAATGTCAGTGGCTTTAACGGGCCTCTAGAAATTCCGTGACGGCAAAGATCTTTCATAAGATGATATATCTGAATATATATTAAATGCTGAGAGTAATGGGACAGATGGTAAAAGTTTAAATAAATGCTTAATTTTAAGGTACAGGCATCTGAAATGGCAAACATTAGCATGAATGTACAAATAGGTAAAAGTCTGTGTACAAGGATTGCAGGGATTGTGAGAAAGACTTTTATTTAGATTATACTTAGATATATAATAAACAAGTATAATTAATTTTCTGCCTATAGCCATGCATTATTCACTTTTAGTATGTTACAATCATTACCCAAAAATATAAAGTATAAGGTGGTGAAGATGAAAATGCAAATAGGAAACTGAAGAAGAAAAATAAACTAGATTTAAAGATACTAGTTTCACACAAGTTATGAAAAATATCAGATTGAAAAATTCAAAGTTTACTTCATTTATAAACTTTTCATGAAATCCTAGCATTTCATTAAATATGTTATGAAAAAATTGAAACCTTTGGTTTAGATTTGTAGACGAATCAGGGTTAAAGATTTCTTTTTGTATACATCGGGTATGCATGACTAAAACATTTAAAGTCCTAAAACTACCAAAGAAGGAACCAGATGGGGATATAAACTAGTACCACCTTTAAGAAAAAATGTATATAAAGTCCTCAAAAAACTTAGAAACAGAACTATTACATGAGCTGATGATCTGACTACTGTGTATATATCCAGAAGAAAAGAAATTACTGTGTTGATTGAAGAGACATCTGCAATCCTTTTTTTTTTTTTTTTGGTCTGAAGCACTGCTCATAACAGCCAAAATATAGAATCAACCAAATGTTCACTGACAAATGGTTGATTAAGGAAAATGTGGCCCATAGATACAATGAAATTTTGCTTAGGAACTGCCTGAATGAACCTGGAGGACATGATGTTAAGGTCCAATAATGCAGGCCAGAGAGACAAACAGAACATTATCTGATGAAAATGTGGAGTTTAAAGAGCTGATATCATAATAGAAGGTGGCCTAGTGGAGGATTCAGAGAATAAGGAAACGTTTTAAACAAGTACAGTGTCAGTTAGATGCAGGTATTCTACTGAATGTAGTGTAATTGTGGGTAGCAACATTGTGTATTTCAAAACAGTAGGAAGAGAAGATTCCAAATGACTTAAGTACAAAGGCACAAGAGAGGCCTAGGACACACCACACCAGTTTGATTTTTTAACATCTTTGTTGTGAAAAATATCCAAGCAGTTCCCACATTTACGTACATGCTGCACTGCCTTACTGTGCACACTAGAACATCCACCCAAGTATTTGTGGCCCACAGAAGATATGGTAGCTTAGCATGTTCCGCTGCACAGTTCCTGGCTCTTTGTTTTTCAAAAATATGTTTATTCCACATATTTGAAGTAGTTTAGAGCAAAGATTTTCACAGTTCCCAAAACCATCTAGACTGATTGCATGAGATGCTGCTTACTCATGAAGGTAAATGTAATTTCAGCCAAAGACAAACGCAGAAACTACGTCCCAAATGCTACGGATCATGAGCATACTCTAAGGAAAGGATGCAATGTCATTTAGTGACTATTACCTGGGTGCAGCCCTTACCAGATTTTGTTTCCTTTCATTATGCACAGTGTCACACATGATCCTTATAAAATGAAAGCAAACTGTTTTTCCATCTAACTAAGCTTGCATTAAACGTTAGTTTGCTGTTTGGGTGGGAGAGGAGGCAAATTTTACAATCAACAACCCTGTTAGCCTTAATTACAGTTAGAGCCAGGTGTAGGAAGTGAGATTTGATCTCTGTCCTCAAGACTATAATTCAAACCTAGTTTTCCATCTATTCTTATTTGACCAAAAACCACTCTGGTAGGTTTTTCTTGTATTAGAAAAATGAAACAGGTTCATTTCCAATGAACTGATAAAGAATGTAGGCTGTTCTCCTCCAGACTACATAGTCTATAGGCATTTGTTACTTTTTCATTGAAAGCTCTTCATAATATATGTTTCTTGTAGTATACTTCATGAATGTTTATGCTGTTATTTTATAACTTCAGGTAAATATTCACGTTTTTGTTTTTCTCACCCTCGTCAAGGACTTTTGAGGGTCAATACAGTAGTGAACATAACAGAAATAAAACCCTTGCTTTAAGGCTTATTCCTAGGAAGGGGAGGAAGACAATAAACAAAACAAATAAAGGAGAAAACATTTATTGTGATCTGATCCAAGGAGAACAGCTTCAGGTATGTGGTGAGTTCTAGGCCAGTCAAGACTACATAAAACTGCTACATGCGGCTCTGTATTAAACACACGCGCACATACAGACACACACACACACACACACACACGCGCGCGCACGCGCGCGCGCGCGCGCGCACACGCACCAGCATTCAGGCTTTGCACACAATGTAGGATAGCCTGGAAAAGCAGGACTGGGAACCAGATGACTTGCAGCACATGGCACAGTTGGTTAGTTATTTGGTGTGAGAGGGTTTTTTAGCCCTCTTTAAAGATACAAAAGGAACACCACGTTAGACATTATCCAAGGCACATGGTTCTAGTCCAGAATATCCTGACCTAGACTTTACCTGTGGACCACAGGCTGAGCCACACTGTCCATGCACTTTTGCAAGTTTTACTAACAAGTCCACTCCTATCACTATCATGTGATCTAGCTTAGGGCAACTTTTGGTCTACCAAGGAATGCTATTCTGATAAATATCACAGGTGTATACTAATTGGTACTGTAAATATGTCAAACAATAATCTCCAACTGACTAGCATGATAATTTATAGACAGTATCTAACTAAATATTCTAAGTACTGATTCTGTAATCTGAAGAATAAAGTTGTTTGGATCAAGGCTTCAGCTGGGTGGTGGTGGCGCACACCTTTAACTCCAGCCTGGGGAGGCAGAGGCAGAAGGATCTCTCTGAGTTCAAGGCCAGCCTGGCCTACAGAGAGTTCCTGGACAGGTGCCAAAGTTACCTAGAGAAACCCTGTCTTAAAAAACCAAAAAGACTGGATTAAAGCTTCTAGAAGGAAAGGGTTCTAAGTTTCTTGGACAAACTTGTTTCAAGTTTACTTACAATATATGAGACAAATTTAATATGTTATCTAAGAATGAACACAAAATTGTAGCTGGGCCTAAATCAGAAGTGTATAGGAGTCTGTATAGCTATATAACAAGAATAAACATCTTAGTTATAACAAAACTACCACAAAGGATCAACTTCATTGGAATCACATGAATTCTCATTTTAGTATCATGGAATATCCCTTATTATATAATTGTTTTAGTTGATTTTTATAGTACCTTCCTATCTTACTAAAAGAAAAACATACAAGACGGCTTTAGGATATTTCTTGTAACTAAACTGAATGTGAGACTTCCATTCAGACATAAACCTGTCTTTTTATTGTCTTTTATACTGTATTCATTTGTGTGTTTTAAATACATATTTTTTCAGATATGTCCAGCCTAACACACATTTTATTAAGTCATTAGTTTTGAATATTGCAGAGAAATGGAGAGGCATATACTTCTAAGAGGTTTCAAAAGAGTAGACACAAAGCTAAAAATATTCATCTATCATAAAATACAATAAGCTTTTATTAAGACTTTATATGCCAGTAACTGCTCTTTGGATTGCTAAGAGAGATAGGGAACCAGCTCCTGACTATACAGTGAGGGTCAAGATGTAAAATCTGCATTTGGTGGAACAGAAAAAATATTAAGAATGTGTAAAAATATAAAGTAATAACTATAAAAATAAGAAGGGGATATGACTTAGGAATTGGAAGGAGATTAAAGGGAAGGATAAGAAGGGAAACAGGAATATTGGTTTTCATTACTAAGTCACGTGGACTATTTTAAGCCCTCTATTATTTCAATTGCATCTCCTTCTCAGTCAGGTGTTGCCATGTGACTGAAGTAAGTGGTGTCACCTCTAAGAGGCCATGGGGATAGGAAGAGTTCTCCCTTCCAACAGGTCTATGTATCTCATAAAAGAATGTGTGGAGACAGTTTGCTCTTCTGTCTTCCTCAAGGGCACATGAGGAAGGGCCTACCACTAGGTGGCAGTGCTCAGTCTCAGACTTCCTGGTCCACGGGCTGTGACCGAGAGCTCCTTTTTTATTTTTTATTTTTTCCCTAAATTTCTGGTCTTAGATATTTTGTTATGGCAACAACACACACTAGCCATCCACAGACATTTTAAAGAAAATAAAACCTTAAAAAGATGGTAGTAGTTCTCCTGCCACACCAATTATAAAGCAAGGTACACTTCAATAGTCTGATTACTGGCTACAGGACTGAGAGGCCAGCATGGGGCTGATCCAGACCCCTGATCGGTGGGGTGGAGGGTGGGGGACAGCGAGGAGGCCTCAGCAATCTATGGGACCTCGGATAGTAGATCACTATTTATCCCTGGTGTACCAATGGACTTTGGGAGCCCATTCCACATGGGTGTAATGGCACACATCTTTAATGCCAGCATCTGGAAGGCAGTGGCAAGTGGATCTCCATGAGGTTAAAGCCCCCCTGGTCTACATATCAAGTTCTAGGCCAGCCAGGGTTACATGGTGAGACCATATCTCAAAAAACCAAAAAAACAAAATCAATATTATAAACAAACTGAAACAACTTTCTTGAATGCAAAGGCATTTTTGAAAGAACCACAGTCATTGTTCCTTTTATATTTTCTAATTATATTGGTATCGATTTTGCTCATTTAAAATTTTCCAAATAGTTCATTGCACTGGCACACCTAGCTTTATTCATACTAGCAATATTTTTCATCTTTTACAAAGCTCTCCT